GGGGACGACGCCTCCAGAGGCACACCCACAGAGCCCGGGCCCGCTGGGGGCGCCCCAGCCTCCGGCAGAAGTGGAAAATCATCCGCATGGAAAACCGATGGGTCCTCCGGGCGAGGGGCACGGCAAGCTGCAGCGAAATGGCCTACCTCACCACACCGGAAACAGGAGCGAGTCTGCCCCTGGTAGAACACACGCACATAAAACCCACACACAGCCACCCGAGAGGGAATAGCCCCAGAGAGCCGCATGCGCAAAGTACGGGCACCCATACGGAGCCCCTTCAGGCGCCCACTAAGCAGACAGGCATGACGCTGCCCCACCACCTCACCATACCGACGGAACGCGGCGGACAGCTCCTCCTCAGGAAACTGCACCGGCGCACCATGAACGCTCACATACGTCAGGGGGCCCCACGGATCGGAGACCTCCACCGTCACAGCAGAACCTGGAAGTACACGCGTCCGTGTACCCCATCGACGCACAAACAGCTGATACACCTGCGCCGAGGAGAATGTCACCGCCACCCGGGTAGGGGAAAGTTTCTCAACACCGTAGAGATCTTGGTACTCAACACGCATGACGTCCATAAGGGCAACCTCCACCAAGGGCCAGTCAATGGGGGCCGAGAAATCAAGCCGGGCGGTGTCGACCCGGCGAACACGGCCACCACTAGTCGACGCCATGACACCCGCCAGGCCCCGGCCAATGGCCGCACCACACCGTCAACAAGACGACCACCACGCAGCAGGTACAGGTCAACACTGACAGCCCGGGCCGAACGTCAGCGCCCTCCGGTAGCGGAGCGGCGAGTCTACATGCAGGCGAGGAGTCACAATAACGTGGCTGAAATATGTTGACAAAACCACACACTAGAAAGTGAAGGGACGACGATGTTTCGGTCCGTCCTGGGCCATTCTCAAGTAGATTGTGAATGGTCCAGGACGGACCGAAACGTTGTTTGTTGTTGTTGTTATAGATTCAGCTACTCGGAACAAGTTCCAAGTAGCACGGGCTATGGTGAGCCCGTAGTGGACTTACCTGACACAAGAACGGTGCTACCGAAACGTCGTCGTCCCTTCACTTTCTAGTGTGTGGTCTGGTCAACACCCACCACACGGTATATGCTCACGCTCCATAATACAAACTCGTATGACCTTTGCAATGTGAATACAGAGAAACAAATGTCAGAAAAAACAGTTTAAAAAGACAATTTAATAAACCCAAATATAATTTACTTTAACAGCTGAATACAACTGGCTATGTGCACTGAAAATAATAATACTGAAAACAAATAAAAGTCTTTAACACTTAGTTTAACTCTTAACTCGAACACAAAACCAATACAATAAAGCCATAAGAAATAAAGCTACAAGATACTATACCTCGGACCATAACCCGAAAATGATCCTCTTTGGCAAGTCTTTTTCGAAGTAGATGTTTCCTGTACAGAGCACCTGAGTACACTTCACCTCCCGATTGATTGATTGATGAAGATTAAGCCACCCAAAAGGTGGCACGGGCATGAATAGCCCGTAAGTGGAGGCTCTTTTGAGCTATTACCAGTATCAATAGAAGATACTGGAGATCTGTGGAGGTGCGGCTGCACCCAGCGTGACGGGAGATGTCTCCCGTGACTGAAGAGTTCACCCCCCGGGCAACACCTATATATACCCGGACACCAACAGAGAGCTAGACATGTTTCAGCACCGCTCCTGTGCCAGGTAAGTCCACTACGGGCTCACCATAGCCCGTGCTACTTGGAACTTTAAGTTCCGAGTAGCTGAACCTATAACAACAACACCAGAGAGACGACACCAACACAATGGCGTGATCCTGTCACTAGCAAACGCCGGCATTTTAACTAGCGGTTAGCACGGTCCTCACACCCTCAAAGTTAGCAGCGATCATACACAAGACACTTCACTTTATATATAACAGTGTAACCGCATCAATTTATACATTGTATTTATCTATTACATTGTACAATTGACGATGACGGCAGAGGAAGTCATCGTCTTCCTCTGAGTAGTTACTGCTAACTCCCTACTTCCTCTGGGTAGGTAAGTCATAAGGTAGTTACAAACCTGACGAGGGTAATTACGCGACAACATCAAGCGAGTATAAATCGCAGAACAGTCATCGCATTACGCAACAAAACGGAGACGCCAGGGCTAGATTCACGAAAGCACTTATGAACCTGTACATCTTTTCTCAATCTTTGGCGGCTTTGTTTCCAATTATTAAACAGTTAATGACCTCCGAAGCACCAGGAGGCTGTTTATAACAATAACAACAGTTGACTGGGAAGTTTTCATGCTTGTAAACTGTTTAATAAATGTAACCAAAGCCGTCAAAGATTGAGAAAAGATGTGTACGTTCGTAAGTGTTTGTGTAACTGCTTCGTGAATCTGGCCCCTGGACAAGAAACAATATGGAACAGGGAAGGAACTTGACAGGTGAGAGAGTACCTCATGTATAGGAAACAGCGAGTCATAGTGGGAGATGAAAGGTACAAGCATAGTGACGTAGCGAGTACACTTGCACAAGACTCATTTCTTGGACCGCTTCTGCACTTTTTGTTATCTAAATGGAACACGTGAACATTTGCCCGAATTACAGTACAAAGTCACTAAGCTCCAAGTGCACAGATTTTTGTTGCAATATTAATTAAAATTTCTATGGAGACATGTCTCATCTGTCTACTTAATCTGTCAATGCTGACGGTTGTCTGCTTAATCGTTGACGCTTATGACGCGGCGGGAGGGATGGAGGGAGGTGTGAGGAAGGGAAGGAGAGGTGTTTTGGAGAGAGGAAGGGAGGTGGGGTGAGGGAGGGAGGGAAGAATGCAGGTGTGAGGGATGGGAGGAAGTGTGAGGGGAAGGAAAAAGGGAGCAGGTGCGAGGGAGGGAAGGAGGAATGAGGGAACAAGTGTGAGGGAGGGAGAGAGGAGGTATGAGGGCGGGAGAGAAGAGGTATGAGGGAAGGAGCAGGAGTGAGGGAAGGAAGGATGAAGCAGGTGTGAGGGAGTGAAGGAGGGAGCAGGTGTGAGGGAGTGAAGGAGGGAGCAGGTGTGAGGGAGGGAGAGGGAGGGAGGGAGCAGGTGAGAGGGAGGGAGGCAAAGAGAGAGGAGGACAACACGGAAAATAAGACTCGCTAATGGAAAGTCTTCACGCGTGGCGTCTGCTGATTTTCCTATTTTTATTTTTTGTATTTTTTAGGTTATTTATTATTGTAATTATTTATATTTTGAATTATATCTTATCTATTTTTCATCGATTTAGCTATCAATTGATTCATGTATGTTTAACATATATTATGTGTATACCATATATATTTTACATATATGTGTGTGTATAATATATGTAAAATATATATATTATACACACACACACACTGTATGTCTTTAAACACAACAGTACTGCGACTTGATAATTTTCTTATGTGTATTTTCCAGTCTACACAAATATCTTCTACTGTCTGGAGGGTGACGAAGCAATAAATCACTTAATATTTCCAATTTATTTTTCGTCAACAATATGACATCTTCAGGAATACACTATGTTCAACAAACAGGTAGACAGAGCTTACAAGAAGTTATATATTTTGCGGCTTGGTAATGCAAACATTTCGTAGTTATTTTGTATTTTTCTTGCAGATTTTGTATCGGTATTCACGGCTTGGCACCATTATCATACTTTCTTGATAAAAGAAAATATTGTGATTATAAGTCATTTTTAACCTTCAGGTCTCAAACCGAGCTTACAAGAAGAAATCTAGTTGTCCTCCAGGTCTGCCATCTTCCCTCTGGATCAATGTAGGCAACAAGGTAAACTAAAATATTCACAATCAATTAGTATGTCACATATGCACTTATTCAATAAGCCAATATTGACTGTAAGCAAGTGCGAGAACGGGTTGATGTAGGACCATCGAACAGTTGTATGCTTGAAGTCAAATTCATCTAGATGTTGATTACTGGTGTTAGCTCCTGAATGAACAACTAAGACCCACTTCCATGCTGTGTGGCCAGGGCACATGACCATCCAGCTGTGTGGCCCCTCCAGCAGGTATATATCCAGCAAATGAAATAGATGTGTCTGGTAGCTTTGGTCTTTGTTTTCCTTGGCAATGTATCTGGCATGAAAGACCCTACTAGTGGCTCGAAGGTACAATCGTACAGACCTGGATGGAGTTAAAGTACTCTAGCCCCACTACCACGTCAAGGTAGATGCCATGGTGGAACATAGTTGTGGAGTGGTGCGATATAATAAACATGCCTTACCTTGATCATACCTGGATGGAGTTGAGTTCTTCTACTCCAAGCCCAGGTTTGACTCTAAGAGCTAGGAACTGCCTGCAGGCCCACGTATCCACTACAGCCTGGTTGTTTCTGCACTTCTTGAAGAAAGTTGTCTCAAAGATGTCCACTTTTGTTCCAGCAACATTTCTTATGCTCGTTGGGTGTTAAACAACCATGAAGTGTGAAAACAGGATGAATCTATGATACAAAAGTAGGATGAAAGTACTAAACATCAGGTCATGAAGATTATTTAACAGTGTCATGGAATATTCAAAAGGTTTTAAAGATCCCTTGGGATGCCAATACAAGAGCAAGAAAACAAATGGCGAACAACGACAAAGGTATCCGATTCACCGAGAAATCTATTGAGGGACAAGTAACTCGAGAGGGACAACGGGGAAAGCAAGATTTATCATCCCAAAAATCATGACATTTTATGAGGTGCGTAACTAACTGGAACAATGCAACATATGACGAAGTAATTATCAAAAGGCGGCACCAAACTGGGAAGGCTATGAAGCACCATCAAATGTGCGGAATAATCAGAAGGCGCTAAATATCACCAAGGATGCCAATACGAGAACACATAAGGCGAACGATATCAAAAGAACATATGACGAAATGATATGAGGAAAATTCGGATACAGTGCATGTACTTTGTTTTTTTCAAACTCAAACTAAAGGTCAAAGAAAGACAAGACACCTTTGTATTATACAATATATTAAACAAGTTATTTCATATTTGCATACAAGTAAGAAAGGATAAAGCACTTAATAGTGTAGACATATACATTGAACAGTTGCACTAGTGCATTAAACAATATTTAAAAATATCGGAAACAGATACCCCAACAACAATTCTAAGATCATAAAGGGAACATTTCTCACTGTTAGCATATGAGGATTTATGGAATAATCACCATTAGCAACCCATCCTCCTGTTTAGATAGTACTTTCAGTAATGATGTACACCATCATACATATACAATATAATGGACAATTACAAAGTAGAATTCGATGCCATTCAATTTGAACAAACCACACAGGCTTCGTATTTATGTTGCTAATACGACTTACCCATCCTAGGCCCAATACAAGCAATCTGAAACCTAATATACTACATACATGTGTGCCATACTAGGCCTAGGAATATTGAAGTTTGGTTTTTTAGCTTGTTTTTTTTTTAATGATTATGAAGTGAAGAGTTCCAAATTCTACTAACTGTCCATTACATCAATATAGGTTAAGACGATCCACATAGTTCTCAAAATCTAAACAGAAGAATGGGTTGGCATTAGTGTGTGTACCGCCATATTAACAGCAGGGTACCATTGCGCGCGCGCACTCATCATTGAACAGTTTTCTCTTTCACTTCAAATCTCTAGCCCTATTAAAAAAAAAAAGTGGCCACAATGCTGCACACACACACACACACACACTTGGCTTATGGACCCTGCATGCTAAGTTTCAATACACTTTGTCACTTGCCACTGCTAACAAAGAAGAGGAAGCCTGTGCAGAAGAATGGTTAGTCTAAAATATATACCAAATCAAAGTAGGCAATTATCAAAAAAGGCACCAAGCTGGCAAAGCCAAGTAAAAGAAATTAATGAAAAAGTCAAACAAAAAGACAATTTCCCCTAAATATGTGATTACAAAGTGCAGCAAACAAAATTTTTATCGTATTTTGAAAGTGATCGTGATAAAGATCTATTGAAATTTCCGAAGCAGTTCTTCCATGGGCACTAAGGACCAGAATGTTACCTATAAAAACAATTATTGCTGCAGATTTAAAAATTAAGATAAGCATTTTCCTACTTTCAGAGAAATTTAGGGAATTACACTATACAAACAGCTAAATTGCAAAGCTTAACAAGAAAATAATTTACATATATATATATACTGCACCAACATGCTTCCAGAAGCTCTACAGGAATAATGAAAACATTAACATGATAATATTACAAATTAAAAATGATACTGAATTTGGGTTGTCAAATATGCAATGCTCCATCATTCATTATCCCTACATCCAAACATTGGTATAGTCCCATAGCTGACCGAACAGCCAATGAAGCACAAGGATCACGCTCATGCCACCATTACGCTCATAATCATCTTCACCGTGTACCATACGCAAGATACGGCCACCAGAACCCATGTTAACTAATGCAACAAACATTATGTAAGATTTTAACCAACCCTTACATTCCATGAAAGCTTTAAGAGCTGCAATGTTATCATTTCCCTTTTTTTTCCATGTCAAACTGCAACAATGATCTTAATAATAGATGAATAAGTAACAATCATATCCATCATCACCGCCATAGTCTTACAATCTATATAAATACCTGCTATAGTCGAGTGTCCTTGTTAAAAGTCTTTTCTTAATATTTAAGAAATATTATTTACAAAAGCAATATGCATTACCAACTAAGAGCATTTAATGGACACTCATCACATACTTCTCTTGCTGTAGTTGTTATACAGAACTAATGACAGTTTGGAGTACTTTACTGTATACATTTCAGAAAACAAGGGGGGAGCTAAATTGCTGCAAATAAATCTAGAGCTTTGAGATTGTACCTAAATGTACATATTGAAGATCTTCATCAGCAGGTGTCAAAATACTACCAACATACCAGTACTTGATTCATACAAGTCTAGGTAACGTGACTAATCACACTTCAGGCACAACTTTAACTTGAAATGCTACTCTGAGCAACAACGGTAACTACAGTTACAAAAGTGTGCACGCACAGTAAACAAGGATGGAAATGAATAGTCGTACAAATCTCAAAGTATGATCAGAATTTTATGCCAAGAACTATTAAGCCATAGAGCTGTTCTAACTCTGCATTTTCTCATTTTAATTCGTTGGGTACTATTACTGTAGTGTGTTTTCATTACTGTACTCTGCTACAGTTTTCTCACAATGTGGGTTGAGCTAATGTTAAGTTATAAAGTGATGAGCACACTAACACTCCAATATAATATGTTTTCTTTTCGTTTTTTACTTAAATTACCGGGGATAAACAAAAAAACAGATCTTGGTGCATGGGTTTCTTTAACATATTACTTAAAAAAATTAACTGCAAGTTATGCCAGGGGTGACCATCTGAGGCATTGCTTTAAAGCTTCCAGTAATCAGATCAAGCAGGCATCAACTACTGTACTGGCTGAGGCTGTGTTGCTTGTGGACTGCTGGGAATGCCCTGGAACGACTCTGGAGGTAGTGTGGCACTTACTGAAATGTTAATATTGTGCTTAATACAAAACACATCATTTTGCAACTCGTCAGCAATCATTTTATGCACAATGAAATCACAAGAATGAGATGAATCTATGAATAAATATTGAGGCCATATAGCGGAATCGAACCCATATCTCTAAACTCCTCAGGCATGGAGGAAGGAAGCAGAAAAGAATGGGGAAGGGGCAGAAAAGAGATGAACAAAAAGCAGAAGAGAGGGGAGGGGGGGGAGAGAAGCAGAAAAAAGGGGTAGAGGGGTAGAAGAGGGGGGTAGAAGGACAGAAGAGAAGGGGGTAGCGGAGCAGGAGTAGAGGGGATGGAATGGAGAGAAGGGCAGGAGCAAAGCATGATGTTCCAATCCCAGTTTATATAAACTATACACAGTATCTATAACAAGAGCTCACCTGTAATAGGAGGCATGCCAGGAAGGTTAATGGGAGTTGTCACTGGCATTCCAGGAATAGATGGCATTGGAGTTGCTGAAATATAAGATCATTTATGAATTAAATTCATAATACAGTGTATGCCTTTTAAACTAATTACATCCAGACAGCTTACTACACAATAACTAGTCATTCGGTGAACACTGATTAACAAATAAACATTAATTTGAGTGCATTTCCCAGAACGTGGATAGTAAAATGTCTGTTTTGGGATGCCTATTATCCCCAAAACCACATTCCATTTTTTATATGTCCAGATGAAGCCATTTGGTCCATGTCTCGGAGGAAAACTTTTTTCATATCAATTGGGGAAAGGTTTTGTAGTTTTTAAAACGAACAAGTATCTCAGATGGTATAATATTGAGACGTCTGAATATGACAAGAATAGTCTATATATATGCAGTACACCACTTGGATGCATGTTGTCTATAAAGATATGCAAGTTCGTAACGAAATTAAAATTAAATATTACTTCCTCCGCTATAATACTTTTGCAGGTCTATAAAAAAAAGGGTATACAAATTATATTCAGCAACAAAAATAGAAATTCACATACACGCATCATAAGTGCCAACATACAAGATAATGAACGTGTTTACATACCTGTGAATGAGGGAGGAGGAACTGGTGGAGGAATGATTGGAGAAGTGTAGTATTGGTTGAGGGGAGGAAGTTGTTGATTGACTGATATAGTAGATGGTATAGCAGATGCAAGTGCATTAAGCTCTGAGCCTCCCATTACTAGTGGACTGCTGGATACCACTGGTACAGTTGGGGCCCCACCCATTGTCAGCGGGCTGGCCTGAGGAACCGAAACCAAGGGAAATGCTGTATTCGGGGATGCCGAGAAGCTAGGAGCTTGCATTGGAACCTGCATGTTGAGATTCTGAGCAGGTGTTTGACCTGGTACCTCATTAGCAGCCTGCATATAAGTGGGTGGGCAAGTAGCAGAAGATTGAGGAGTCATTGTAGAAATGTGGGTGGTAAAGCTAGCCGGAAGTTCAACTGGAGGAGGAACAGACGTTGGCGTGAAAGCTGCAGGGGGAGGAATGTTGGGTACTGCAGTTGATGCAGCAGGTATTGCTGCTGTGGTTGCAGCAGTTGCTGTTGCTGTTGCAAATGCTGGATGAGAATCGGGGGAAGCTGTAAAAGCATTGGGTGGAGGAATGGTCGATCCTGCGGTCATTGTAGCTAGAGTGCCTTCTCCTATGCTTATACCTGCTATACTAGATGCCACAGCCTCTATTTCACTTCCTGTTGCAACCTGAAATTTAGTAAAAATCTTGTTAAAAAATTAAACTTGATCCCAATAAAACTTTGTATTTTAATTATATTATCTTGAATTATTTGTTTAAGTTATGACTAAAGTTTCCTATACTAATTCTGATAATGAAAACGTTTATGTACTTTGCCATCCATATGACTTGTGTAATTAATGTACTGTAATTTTTATTCAAACTTTCCCAATTCTAATTGTTCAACATTTATGAATGAAGCCTTGTCTGATTTGGTGGTCATTTTCAATGACTTCCAGCAAATCTGTATGCCCTAGATAAGGCTTTAAGTTTGTTAAAAATCACAATACTCTAAAGTTGTGCACCACTAAGAGTTCAAAGATTGGCAGTGCAACAATTTACTAATGGAAGAGCCTGACAACTTCAACAGTCACTTTAGTTGGAGCCAAGGTCAAGTTATGGAAGGAATACCAGTGCCAATAGTTAAAATATCTGCCAAGATTTTGACAGATGCATAAATTATATACATATGGCTTCAGAGCTTTACAATGTGTGGATAAATACAACTCAACCAAGCCTACTAAACTGTAATTTTCCAGTCAACACACGCTACTATAGCAGTTACCAAGATATGATAGTGATAGCACATGTACAGTACAGTAGTCCCTAAATGGGAAAAAATAATGGCCCATTACGCAAGAACATCACACTAAAATGATATATCAATGAAAATCGATTGGAGCAATTGATAAATCAGCGAGATGTCCTTGTGTATTTGAAGCTGGAGCAAATGGTGGAGAACTCCATTACCTATACCAGAGTGCACAGCGGGTATGTGTAAAACCTAGAACGGCTTCAGTAGAGGCACATTAACCTATGGAATACAATTTACTGGACTATAATAAGGCTTGGAATTTGCATTTAAGATATAAAATAGTTGAAGCAATGTACAATACTACTAACAGGATAAAAACAGGCAAGTGATTTACCACAATGTTAATCCAGATGTTTTAACGAGAAAATTATAGGAGACACTGCCGATCACTAAAAAAAAAAAATCACATTCCTTATGAATTTTAAATACTGTACCTGTAATAGTTGTTCAGTGTCAGAAGATTCATTAGGCGATCGCTTGGGTGTGTCGGTGATTGGGTCACCACGCTGAGTGGGAATGCGGTGAAGGTAACCATAGCCAATACCACAACCCAAGCTGAAAAAAAAATGCTGTGTGCAGTATGGGCAAGCATAAATTTTAAATAGTCGGGCCTTAATCTTGAAGAGGGCTATATTCCTGAAACACTTTTGTGCAGAGACAAATCTGAACAAGCAAATTTGATAGTCTCCTAAAGTCCATTTTCTTGCATGTCTCATAATGAAAGCCTATTTAATCATTATTAACACACACACACACTTAACAGTCACAAAAACAGCATACAATGAATTTATCAATGCTTGGAAAGCATCATGTTAAGAATTATATTTTGGCAAAGTGCACAGTAATGCCTCAGTTGCACAAATCTTGTGCGAATATAAAAAAACAAGCCCTTTATCTAAGGAAATTTGTCCAAAAAACAACCACTCGAGAAAATCTAAATCTTTAATTACTATACTGTATTCACAATTTCAAGTTAATAACCACTATCTCCCTAACTAACCAGTAAAGCAATTAAAACAAACATGGAAGCACACACTTCCTCTACTACTACACCCCAACCAGCATCACTTAATACGAATGTGCTCGTCAAAATGTGTACTCACCTTCCAGATCCTCCCCACTGTGTATCAGGCGTGACTGTTACTTCTCTACAAGAATCAGTTTCCACGTTATAAACATACAGTTTGAGAGGGCGACCTTCATGAGCCTCTATAAGTGAGAACAGGTCTTCACTCTCATGGAGGACGGAGTCTGCCCCAATAATGTAATCTTTAAACGACTGAAGGCCAGCAATGTCCGATGGAGAGTTGGGTTCAACTTCCTGTAATGAAAGCATGACTCTTATCCATTTATATTACTAATTAGATTTATATACATGTTGAAATCATAAAAATGACAAAATTCATTTGTGTCAGAACATTTATTTTTACAATATAGTACTTTACTACACTATTAAACTCGAGCCTAAATAAAAAGCAAGATAAATTTGAATTGCAAGAAATTTTAAATTTTATTTTAAGATGTCTTTTGTAGAATGTTTATATGAACTTTAAGGAATAATCAACAAATGTTTGGTTGGTATAAAATTTTCAAGTATTTTTTTAAATTAAATCATGTTAAAAATTTTAATTCTACGCACAATATTAATTGTTTATCAAATTACAGTATAATAAATTCCTGAACAATAAACACTGACATTAATATAGATTAAAAATCTGTGGCCAGAATTAATAGTAAAAACCCATCGAGTGCGAGAGCTACGATTTCTGACAAACAATGATTAATATTCAATTTCTCATTTCCAAGAGAATAAGGCAATTAAGATGAGAAAACAGTAACAAAATTTTTTGACAAATATCTATGCAGCTTTTTTGGTAGAGAAAAATAATTTTACAAAGTTTAATTTGTCTTCTCGATCAATTTTTTAAAAATGGCTTATAGTTCTTATGTATCTACATCTGAATTATAAATAATTATTACAAAAAAAATATGTATTGATAATCTCACTTCATCTAACATACACAACTTAGTCTTTTGTTCAAACTTACAAGGATATGCCAGACGTTCTCATTGGCTCCCTCAAAGGAACAGAAGCGAATGGAGACCCCGAGCAAACCCTGGCCACCCCAAAGGTTAGATGGTGTTATGACCACGTTACGGATTGTCTGGGTTTTACTGCTATACACAGTCATCTTCAGCTCTTTCTCAATAGAGTTTTTGAGAAGTTCCTTAAGTGTATCATTGTCCTGGTCCTGGAAAATAAAGTATTATTTTATTAAAATATTAGTAGTTTTCCAGTGTTTAAAATGTGTTATAAAAGGCTGTTACCCAACTAAACTGTAGAGACTAATTGAGAACTATCTGCTAGCTTGAGGTTCCCACACCATACACCCTCATTCCTCCACCAAGAAAATGGCCCCCTTTGAGAAGGTTATGAACAGAAGTGCAAGGCCTGAAGATGAGCCAACTGAGACTATGCATTTAGAGTAAACAGGTTGAGAGAAAAGGCATGGAGACATCTTTGAAATAGACAGCTATCAAAAATATAGAAAAATTTAAAATGCTAGAATAATAAGGCACTAGAAGATTTAAGGGAAAAGATGAGTTCAGAAATAATGGAAGAAATAAAAGAACAAAAGGCATTTACTTTTTGTACAAGTCTTTTGTACATGCAATTATAAGACTACAGGTTTGGGTAATGACAAAGGCCAAGAGCATATACAGTAGATGAAAAGTTGAGGTATTTATTACAGTATTGTCATAAGCACGTCCCTGTATTCATAGTAAACTATCAAAGGATGCATTTTGGGAAAGTATCAGCATGTGTTAATTCACAAACATCAAACTATATTAGTCATTATGAGAAAAACAGAAATGTGCCAGAATGATTCACTGACTAGCAACCATAAAAGTAAACAATTTGAGAAGAATACTCCCATTAGTGATGCAAATATCCATGACTATGACAATGCAGTGGAAGAGGCAGGGAAAGTGACTAAAGCATGACCAATCAAGTTCAGTTGGTGACGGCAATGGAGAACAAATACCTTTGCAGAGCCAACAAAAATATTTATTGTCAAACTTTCCTTGCAATAAATAATAAATTATTGCAACAGTTACTAGTGTATTTTCCATAACTGAGACTGCTGGAAATATCCTCCCAGAAGCATACCATGTGTGAGGAAAACTGGGTACAGATGCTGTTTTTTTTAATGTCCTCATTTTTATTATTCAAAATCTGGCACCTAGGGATTGCACATACCCATAACTAGAGAAACCTTCCTTGTATGGCAATACAAAAGTCAAATTTTCAAACTAATATGAGAAGGTGTCCCTCAGAAGTTGCTAATTTTGGAAATACTCTATTTTTATCAAACCAGCCCATCTTGCAAACAAAGACCAAAGTCCATTCCATGCACCCACCAAACCCCCGTTTACGAATTAAAAACAGTTTACACACGACTCGCAACTGATGACGTTAGAACACTTCCGGAACAAGTGCTTTGCTGACAACTTTTATTCAAACCACGACACTGTAAATGCTTCACCCACGTACTACAAATACAAATAATCGCCAACAAAACCTAAACACCTAACCAATGCCTAAATATGCACAATATACTAATATATAATAATATTAATTTATATTTGAGAACATTCCTATTTTGAATGAACAGCATTTTAAAATTGATGAATATGTCTGTAGGGGTCAACCGCTGGATAGAATGGACTTGGTCTGAGGACGGGTTGATCAAACCATCTCGTGTGGCTCAAGATTGCCTTCAATGCACAACGATGAATTGGGAAATGGGAACAATAATACAAATGCAATGAAACCATAAGAATATGATGTACTCGTAAAAGTATGGCAAAATCAAACTCTAGTCTATGGACTCTCCAGGCACACCATGGAGCTCATCGTGGTTCAGTCAGTGATGCATATTTCTGGGGAGTCCAAGGACGTGAGTTTGATCCCATCGTACTAGCTCAGTATTTTCTAATAATAAATGCTTACCAGTCTTGTGTTACCAATAGAAACAATGAAGTCGAAGAACGCTTCTAGACCAGCAATTTGGCCTGGCGAGTTATCCTGTACCTGTAAATAAATACAATATTACTATACAGTATTTGCTCTTGAATGCAAAGATGCCTCCGAGGAAAATTTAAAATTAACAGTTCAGAGAATCCTTATCTAACTGTGTAGTATTATGGAGTACAATATTATAGGAAACATCTGTTTGATATACAGTTTCCAATGCTATGCCTATACTGTAAGTTTTAAATGTCTATGCAGGCGATGAGTCACAATAACGTGGCTGAAGTATGTTGACCAGACCACACACTAGAAATTGAAGGGACGACGACGTTTCGGTCCATCCTGGACCATTCTCAAGTCGATTGTGATGAGGACAGGTAGGGACAGGCATTAAATAGGCAAGAGAGAGCTGAGGAGGAAAGTCAGGTGTAGGGGATAGTAGTAATGAGAACTGCAGCAGGCCTATTGGCCCATACGAGGCAGCTCTTATTATAACCACCGAAGGAGATAGTAATAGGAATAAGAAGAGGATAGCAAGGGAGCGTAGAAGACAATGAACAGAAAAAGGGAGAAGAGAGAAAGAAAGGGAAAGAGAAAGAAAGAAATGGAAGGGGGAAAGCTTATGTTAAGTCACGTTTGTTAGAAAGATTAGAGCATTTGAGTATATACTGTGAAAGGGAAGAGTCCACAGCAACAAAGCCAGGACTCAAGTTCATGTTGGGTACATTGTTAATAAGAGCCGCTTCTACAAGACGGCGTCTGTGTAGAGTAGAGGCAGGAAAGATTATTTTGGAGGAAGACCAATCAATGGGATGATTAGAATCCCTCACATGGCAGAAGAGAGCATTGTTAGTGTCTGCAGACATAACACTTCTCTTGTGTTCTTTAAGTCTGTCATTCAGTGTACGGCCAGTTTCGCCAAAGTATTGGAGAGGACAAGATGAACAGGAAATAGAGTAGACACCAGCAGCATTAGAAGCAGGAGGAGCTTTTAAATGTCTACCTTGGTATTCATTTACATGCTGCACCTAAATATCAATATGCCTCGTAGGAGGGTATCCTCAAATAATGCCATAAGTCTAGGAAACTGCAATTCCTGGACCAGCATTTCTGAACCTTTGTACCCTTGAAATACCTCTGGGTCGTATATTAGATAAACACTCAGATTTAATTGTCAACTGAAAGGAGACTGTCTTTGCTCATGATACTTCTTAAATTAGAAAAATGAAACAAATTGTAGTACTCAAGAAAGCATCTGTATATGATTAGAATTAACCTATTTCTGCACTCTCTCTTGCAGAACCTCCATAGTTACCTTGGGGTTCTGTAGAACTCTGGCCGAGAAATGCTGTCCTAGACTGATCAGTGCCAGTATTAACTTCCAGAAAATTAAATATTGTACTGAAATGCAGTGTAATAGTAAACACAGCATGATGAAAAGCAATCATTCTCTTAACATAATAGATAATATTTTTCACATAACCTTCAAGTAAAATGCTTTTAAAGTCCCGAGTGCTATTTTAAATACTACACTGAATACGACACTTCTTTTTGACACCTTTGCCTACTTTTTGAAGGATATTTGGATCTTATGACTTATTGGGAACTAATCACCTAGCATTGTGATCTGCATTTCAGGTCTACCAAGAAACCTAGCCTTCCAGAATCTCTCATTTTAATGGTTTAATTATTCAAATAATTTAAATTTCAAATAAATTTAAGCCAAAATGTTCAGTTTCCCTCAACACCATCCAGGTGTCAGGCACACTGGAGACTCGAGTTCAAGGAAGCAGCTGTGGGTACATTGCAATATCCACTATATATTATATTGCAACATACCAAGAAATGTCAATTTGGTACGTCAAGCCCAACATTGAATAACACTCCATGAACCACGGGGGTTCGACTCCCCGGCAAGGGTGTAGTGATGGACTTAGGACCTCTGGAGGGCCAGTAAGATAAACCTGGTTGATGGGGTTCTGTGGGAGTTCTTCTACAATAACTTAAATGACCAACACGGCAATTATTCTTTAGCCCCGAACCATTTAGGATTAAAGCAAGCTCTCAGTACCCCCTGTATATATATACCAATCGGTGTATTTAACAGTGTGTCAAGAAACAAAACATTGAATTAAAACCAACACTAGAAGCCACCACTTAAGGCCAGCACCTCGTCACCTGTGACCACTTACCCTCAGCACATGGTAGCCCTCCATGCCTCCCCCGGGTATTTCTACACTCTGTGATCCTCCCATGGTGGCACCTGGTCTCTGGCGGCCCTCAATACGGCTCTCTCTTACCCCCACAAGAACAATTTGGACGAGAGCGACCTTACAAGCCCAAACAGACGTGGCACCCGAGGAATTATGGGTAAACAGCTGATGGTGGAGGGGTGTGTACGGAAGAAATAATCAATGTTTTCATCTTTGCTAATAATTTATCCTGGAAAAAATACAATATTATAGATTTTTGCAATTGTTAATTGACGTTTTTATTATTTTTATGATAGATTTATTCAATTCTCTTGGTAATTCTGAAGCTTATGTTTTCCATTTCATGTCCTGATTTATTTGACGTAAGAAGCACTGGAGGACACTGACGTTTACCTGGATTTACCTATATATATTAACCTATTAATACAATGTCTAGGTTCATTATAATGACATAAGCAATATATAATCTACACATGTTTAGGAATTTAACAAACAATTTCATGGTCGATATCATATACTGCTGACACAATGTTTATAATATAGCTTTTGTACCGTTGTTCAAACAAACCTTTGACGTCAAGGAAAAAGAAGGTAGTTATTCAACTGTATTCATCCCTGGTGTGGCCCCCACCTCGATTTTTGTGTTCAAGCACGATGACCATCTTCAGAAAGGCATATATATACAGGACCTACTTTGGGGGAAAGTTGAACACGTGACGACAATTAATCATCCCAGAAGTCGACTTCGGGCTAACAATACTGTAGACCATAAATGATAGGTCATTTGCTCATAAATGACAGGGTTCATCTTTGAAACTTTGAAAATACTTAACAGTTTGGAGGATATTGATCCAGACCGCTTCTTTACAAGGTGAGATGTAACACACAGAAGGAACACCGGCTTTAAGCTCAACAAGCCACAATGTAAGATAGAAAACAGCAGATTCTTGTTCATACTTCACCCATGGGTTTATAACCCTATGGGTGAAGACCTATGAGGTTATAAACCCCGTCAAAATTTCAAAACACTACTGCAATTCAAGATCAAGCTTGATAAAATAAAAAAATCAGGACAAATGGGGAACTTTTGATAAGCCGTTGGTGTCCTGTCCTCGTCGAGGCCACTAGATATAAATTTAATTCATTTGCATGTGAATTTATATCCATTCTATAGTACGGCGACCAAAACTGAACTGCATAATCTAAATGGAGCCTAACCAGAGCAAGATATAGCTGAAGAACCACACCAGGTGTCTTGTTACCAACACTTCGATTAATAAATCCCAGTGTCCTATTTGCCTTATTACGAACATTCGTGCATTGATCCTTTTGTTTTAAATTCTTACTAATCATAAGTCCCAGTTCCCTTTCGCAATCTCAACACCATCTAGCTCGTATCTTGTAACTATCATCATTACCTAGCCTCAGAACTTTACATTTATCAGCATTAAACTGCATCTGCCAATCCTATTACACTGCATCTGCCAATCCTATTAAACTGCATCTGCCAATCTTATTAAACTGCATCTGCCAATCCTATTAAACTGCATCTGCCAATCTTAACCCCACAGTTCATTTAGCTAAGCAAGTTACAATCTTGATGAGCTAGTTACAAAATTCAATATAAGTCGTCACATCAACAAAGGGTTCGAGATCGACCACAAGTACAGGTTCTAAATTAAGCAACTGACATATGTGGAGAGCTAGTGTCACAATTGATATGTTTGTCCTGCACACCGCCCCCCATCCAGTGGGCAGCGGCGGATAGGTTACAATCACTTAGTTACTACCTACAGTTAGCAAACTGGGGATATTTGGCTAAAAATTTCTGGTAGCAGATCATTTTGAATGAAATATTTACACATCGCTGGAACATTGGTTATAGAATTGTCTCTAAATTCACGGTGTGCGAATAATTTTGTTGACACAGTTTACATTTGGTCAGCTGGACCGTTGACTTCCTATGAGGCCACATATTTACTTATTTCATAATGGAAGTATATTATTTTATAGTAAATATATGTTTTCTCGTGTTCTGCATTAAGCACCAACATTATAGTGAATAAATATACCATATTTCTTCATTATTTAAGTAATGCTAGGAGGCTTTGAGTAGCTTTGGGTCATTAGGTGAACAGAATCTCCAATAGATGGGGCGAGAGTCGCGCTATCTCTCGCCCGAGCGAGAGTCGAAACTTATTTTAGAATTGATATATCTTTGTCCTCCAACAAGATATATTTCCTTTGGTGCACTCACAATAACGAGCATATCTCTGTCTTTCTGAAGGCATATAATATTTTAGGCTTTATAAGCGTATCTTTGTTAATTACACACTATATTGGCAAGTGAGTATTCCGTAAGTATTCGTAAGTATTCCGTGAGTATTCTATATTCCGTAAGTGCGTAGGCTTCTGCATTCCATGACCGACAAGTTACTGAATGCCACTATAAAAACGTATGTATCTTCACTTGAGCTTTATATATGTCTATGTTAAAGTATTTAAAATGAAGCTTATATTTCTATCTTTCTTGAGACATATAAAACATGTGTGTTTATTAATGAATTTACGTGAAATAAGCATTGTTCTGAGAGAGAGTTACTCCGTTGCTCGATCTGTGCGGGATCGGAGCTCGCCGATTAGAAAAATACACGTATCTTCGCTTTAAATATAAATATGCCCATGGTAAGGCATTTAAAATGAAGATTATGTTTCTATCTTTCTTGAGACGTATAACAATCTTACGTTTATTAACGTTTCTGCGTGAAATAAGCATTGTTCTGAGATGAATATTGCGGATTTCCGGCTCTACGACCGATGAAAAATGCAACTTTTATACAACTACAAATATCTTTAGTTTTACTTTAAATTTTGTCCTGAAAGAGTTTTCATATATAGATCCAGTTTCTGCCGTTCTTCTGACATGAAAAGACCTTTGGTTTAATAAGTTATTAAGATGTTTTCAACAATATTACTAGGGCGTTCACCGATTCTAACATGGGCGACCCTTTTGGAAACGCAACACATGGGTTGACCTGATTGATATATGGGTCAGATTCCATTAAGGTTCGGAACATAAACAATGTGTTTGAGTGCTTCTCTGTGGCTTAAGCTATTATAAGCTGTTATACATTTATTTATAATAAAAATACAATTAGATAAAAATATTAAATTATTTTGTATTTTAAATATTTTTTATAATAGCTCCTTGAAACTACATATATTACTTGATCAATCTAGAGGAAGTGGAGACAGAAAATAATAATCGTCAAAATATTAGCGACTGCTGATAAAAATAATGGTAAGGTAAGAAAAACATAATTATTTTCAAATAAATCATTTTAATTGGTTGTTATTGAATTGTATTAATATTTACATACACAGTAATTTATTTTCTGGTATGGTCGAACGCCAATAGGATGTATAAGAAAACGAACAACTCTACTTCTTAATGGTAAACTATAACTTATTTTATATCTGATGATGCTAAGGTTTGGTTTCTCGTTGAAAGGAAGCCTGTGCTAGGTGGCTTCCTAGTGCAGGCTTCCGAAGTTCTCTCTGACCAACTAATAACCTCTCCCGGGATGCAACCCACAACATTCGCCTAACTCCGGGTGAGCATAGGCATCGGATGTAAGAAAACGCGCCCAAGGGCCTTGCCGCCCACACCTTAGAACATTATGTATTAGAGTGTCACCTTATTGAAAAATATAGAAATAAGGAAATAAATAGTGTACCACATCAAATTGTTTGGATGTGTGATAATGGTATAATAGACAGTATACTTAGGAGCTACAAGAATTTTGCCCCAAGAATGTTACAATTATATGCTGTACTTGCTGTATGCAATGTTAAATGAGATTTTTGTACTGTTATATGTCTATTTGTACTCACTGAATTTGTGCGCCCCTTAAGGGACTTGAAGTAGAGGGGGTAGAAATAGCCTAAGCTACTCTATCCCTTTGAGATGTATTTATTGCTTATCTCAATAAACATACTTGAACTTGAACACCTAACCTAACCTAACCTATGCCTATATATGCACAATATGCTAATATATTATAATATTAATTTATATTTGAGAAAATTCTTGTTCTGAATGAACAGCATGTTAAAATTTATGAATGCGTCTGTGGGGGCGACCGCTGGATGTAATGGACTTGAGTCGAGGACGGGTTGCAGCCCGTCCTCCAAAAAAAGATCCAAAAGTGATTCCATGCACCCGCCAAACCCCCTGTTTATGAATGAAAAGCGGTTTACACACGACTCACAACTGCTGACGTTCGAACATATCCGGAACAAGTGCTTCACTGGCCAATTTTGTTCGAACCACAACGCTGTAAATGCTTTACCCACGTACTACAAATACAAATAATCGCCAACAGAACCTAAACACCTAACCTAACCTATCCTATGCCTATATATACACAATATGCTAATATATTATAATATATTATAATATTAATTTATACTTGCGAAAATTCCCGTTTTGAATGAACAGCATGTTAAAATTTATGAGTGCGTCTGTGGGGTTGACCGCTGAATGTAATGGACTTGAGTCGAGGACGGGTTGTGTATAAACCGTTTTTCATTCATAAACAGGTTGGTTTGGCGGGTGCATTGAATCACTTTTGGGTCTTAGTTTGGAGGACGGGCTGGCCCGGTAATACAACCGGGTTTGTTGACCAGACCACACACTAGAAAGTGAAGGGATGACGACGTTTCGGTCCGTCCTGGACCATTCTCAAGTCGATTGTGAGGCCATTCTCACAATCGACTTGAGAATGGTCCAGGACGGACCGAAACGTCGTCGTCCCTTCACTTTTTTTTTAGATATATACAAGAGTTGTTACATTCTTGTACAGCCACTAGTACGCGTAGCGTTTCGGCCAGGTCCCTGGAATACGATCCAGGGAAGAGAGGAGAGAGAGAGAGAGAGAGAGAGAGAGAGAGAGAGAGAGAGAGAGAGAGAGAGAGAGAGAGAGAGAGAGAGAGAGAGAGAGAGAGAGAGAGAGAAAGAGAGACAGAGACAGAGACGGAGAGGAGGGGGGGGCTTTAAGAGTGTTACTTCATATCTCACGTTATAATGAGTGTGATCCTCCTTGAGCTATTTATCTCTGGAAACGTGTCTTGGAATTGATTATTCCTTCGTTGTACCCTTTCTT